GATCGGTTTGGAGTCTCGAGATTTCGGGTTTGTTTATTCTCCTCCGTGGCCTCGGCGAATCGTCTGGCATCTGAAGCATTTCTTTAAACGCTACAACAGTAATTTATTCGCTCGTATAAAAGAAGTATAATAAACAACTGTTGTTTCTAAATGATGACCACATACCAAGTAAATTGGATTTCACTGTTATACTGAGGTGAGTGGATCCCCTTAAAATCTCCAAAGCTTTCGGATGGTTCACATGCTCAAAGCTTTGTCCGTTTACTTTTAAAATTTGATCGCCCCGTTTTAAACCAACATCTTCCGCTTTCGACTTCTTATCTACTTTTGAAATGAAGATGCCGAAACCCTTTTCGCCTAAAATATTGAAATGTAGAACCTCGTCCCTACTAGATCTCGCCAACGTTACGTTTCGCGTCCTTGCCTTTGCTGCACAGGCAATGTTTAATAATCTGAAATTTATTGAAATACGATCGAATGATACCAACGTTTCAACCACTACGATGTTCGAATAATGTAACGTAAAGGAATGTTAAACGTACCTTTGTTGCCCTTGCATTTTCTCTCTTTCCAATCCAGCTTCGAATGCTTCTAAAAATTCCATCATAGCTGGGTCGGTTTCAAAGTCCGTAAAATGATTATTTACCCAGAGTAGAACTACTCGGGCCACTCTGTCTCTGACTTGCGCTTGGTCAAACCATTCTAACAATTGATTCGCAACTAATAAGGGATTATCGATAAATGTTCGATGAGTTAATAAGAAGTCTTCTATATAAGTGGGATCGGTAATACTGTTTTCTTCTATAAGTTGTAACATTAAGCGCTCGGGAGTGCCACGAATGACAACGTGACCTCTGCGTGCTCCTCCATCTAGAGCACCCCTTAATTCCGTCACTAGAATAACTCTTCCATTTTCTTCGTGCCTCCTAGTGTTTTCTTCACCTTGATGTTGAATCCTAAAGTAATCTGCTTGTGTGACACACACAAATTGGCAGTCATCGCATCTAAAAGGAGAATTGTATTCTTTGAGCACAAACTTCTTGAATTAAATAGCAGCATTTTATTCAGACTGAACTTGCAACACAGGACTCACTTTGTCCTCATAACACCTCTATGCAAAAGTCTTTCCATAGTGGGTAAGATTCCAAAACTATCTCCGAGATGAAGCTGTTCAATTTCTCCATTGCTATGCTCAATTTCCACAGCACCATTGATAAGCACACTCCAACTGTCCAATTCTTCACCGTCATTTAAAACTATCATACCAGCACGTTCTACCACTGCAAACACCATTACAGCGCACAGCGCTCTCCTTACTGCCAGAGTCATGTTTGTAAAGGCCTTTAACTGTTGTGTAAATTCTAACAGTGTTTCTATGTCATCTTCTGTTCTTTCCATAGGGTCTTTCTCTAAGCATTCTCTGACTGGATCACGGACAGTCAAGCTCTGAAGACAACAATAAAAACGTTTTCATGTCTATTTTACATTAAATTTAGAAATTGCCTTTAATTAAGAATCGACTCTTACATCCATGCTCTCAGCCAGATCTTCATCTTCATCGCTATCCACTACGGATTCAAGAAGTCCAGAAAGATCAACATCATCTGGGTCTGCATCCAACGAACTTTGCACAGATGTCATTGTGTCTGAACCACTGTATGCTGAACTTGTGTCACTTGAATGGCTGCTTCTGTTGGACTTTTGGTAGAGCTCTGGCCTGCCTGTCAGGCCTTGAGAAAACTGCACAGAAAAACAAATGTTCCCAGTTAATTAACAGTACTTGACTTTTCAGTCACACAATATAATCACTTACACACACACATACAAATCTATTATAAATAATACAAACATCTTACAAGATGCAACGTACGTAATGAAATATTTCCAAAATAATCCAAATAGAACTAACAACAATACTAATCCCATCAAGATTCCCTACACTCCTACATCCTCCCACTATACAAACAAAGGTGTTTACATTACAAGATCCATGCCAAATGACAACGATATTCCCTGTCGCAATCCACCGACAGACTGAAAAATCTAAACAATAACACGATGTCGTCCAA